CGGGAGCTCACGGGGGTCACTGAGGCCAACTCACCGATGACCGTGGGTTCCAGGTCTACGAACACGGCCCTGGGCACATGCTTGCCAGCGCCCGTCTCACTGAAGAAGGTGTTGAAGGAGTCATCTCCTCCCCCGATGGTCTTGTCACTTGGCATCTGGCCATCGGGCTGGATGCCGTGTTCCAGGCAATAGAGCTCCCAGCAGGCATTGCCGATCTGGACACCAGCCTGGCCCACGTGGATGGAGATGCACTCACGCTGTGGGAAGAAGAGAGGAAAATGTCAGAATAGGACAGATCAGATGGGACATTTAGGAATGATTCACACCTAAATGACTAATTAACCTTCAGGATAGATAATCACCTTTCTGGAAGTCACTCCTGCCCAAGGTTTATTTCACAAGCCTTTGCTGACTAATTGGGAGAAAATGCTTTGCAAAACCAAAGATATGTTAATGAACTACTAGGCAAGACCAGAGATCAGACCCTTGCTTTGTAGTCACATTAGATATTCAAGGTCAGGTTTCTACCATTTTAGAAAGATAAAAGCTGTTCTATAGCAATACATTTCCTCCAGCTCCTGGGAAATACGCCTGCTGATTCCTTAAAGGCATGCAAAATTCCCCTTTGCAGCTCTGACTCATTCTGTGTGATTGTGTAACTGTTGAGCTCATTCTGGTCCCTCTTTAATCCTATTCTTTAAAAGACAAGAGCTTCTCCCTCTCCCTTTAAAACCAGCTTAAACCAGCAAACCACAGCCATATGACTCATGGAGAAAATGCCAGATAAGCAGCAGTTAGCTGTATTTTAAAAAACTGTGGTCAGGGGCAGCTTTTTAACCCTGTGGAAGAACTTAATCGTAAGGAAGAACATTTTTCCTTCACTATCAACACATCTTGAGTAGGGAGGGTTGGCGATACATGGAAATAAAAGCCAGAAGTGTCAACAAGACTTGACTAATAGTTTAAGAAATTAGTTGTTTCCTACCAAAACATATACACACATTTATCTCTGGCACTGTGGGGAAAAGTCTATGGTATCAAGACTTTAATGATATTGGGAAAATGTTTTCCTTTATTTGATGAACAAGATCATTTATAAGTTTCCAAACTCATGCCTGCCTAGTAAAATAAGGCCATGAACATAGGATCTATGCCTCCAGATTTAAGAGGAAAACAAAAAATGGGGGGTTTATTGTATCTCACCATAAGTCAGATTAGCTACTTTGCAGACTGGCAGAGGACTTTCAAAATATTGACACCAAATATCTACCTCCCTTTACATTTTCCCCAAATAAGAGGGTTTCAAGTTTTTAAAAGCTGCTAACAGGAAACTAGTTAGAGAAAACTCAACACCACTAAGATCTTATAGGGCCTAGTTTCATAACCTGAGATAATAAAAACCCCAATCACCCACAACCTTTGACTTATGGCCCTCTCCTTCCCGCCTACACTCCTCATAAAACACCCATGGTCTCCTGACCACATCACCGGGCTCATTATTACCTGGGTCTACTTGCCCAGCTCTAGGGCTGTGGGAGAAAGGGGAGTTGGTTGTTCTAATGAACCTGTGACTATTTACCATTGCATCATGTTTACCTCTTAACTGGACTTTGGAAATTCTACAGCCCAGGAAAGCTGGAGAGAGAGAGAGATCGGTCCATGACAGCTCCAGGGCCAAGGAGATCAAGTATTTGAGAAAAGCCTTTCATTCTAATGAAGCGTTTCTTCTATTGACTTTTAAGCCCAAAACACTTTCACTGTGCAATAGGCTAATTGCTTTCTCATTTAGACCATGGCCACTGCTTTCCCTCCACTCTCCCCTGGCCACTCGGGAGATGAAGTGAGACACAGGTGATGGACTCAGTCTAGCTTTCACTGGACAAGCAGCCACCGTCTCTTGTGAAACACTATTAATCTAGCCAGTGTTTGCCTAAATCCGTCTGCGGCTGGTGCTCTCCTGCCCTTCTTTAAAAAGCCCCATTATTTTCTGAATCACACTTTTACCAGTATCTTCCCACCTCCCTTGCTGAAAAGCACTCAATTTGTTACAGCGAGACTTAGCTTTGAGAACTGTGGTGGTCTCTGAAGAGGGTGACTGGTCTGTTCACTGTATCCCCTTTTCTTTAAAGATACTATTTTGAGGGGCACCTGGGTGGCTCCGTCGTTAAGCGTCTGCCTTCGGCTCAGGTCGTGATCCCAGGGTCCTGGGATCGAGCCCCACATCGGGCTCCCTGCTAGGCGGGAGGCCTGCTTCTCCCTCTCCCTCTCCCCCTGCTTGTGTTCCCTCTCTCACTGTGTCTGTCTGTCAAATAAATAAAATCTTTAAAAAAAAAAAAAAAGATACTATTTTGAAACATTTGATACACAAATTCTAGCTTAAAAACAGGATTTATTTTACGCAGACCTCTAACAGACGTTCTCTAAGAAACACATTGTTAGTACTTGTTTACTCAGCGGTTTTGTAAGAAAATATCTTTTTATGGACAAGTTTTTGAAAAACCTGGCCTAAGTACAAAGCTTCAGCTATAAACATCCCATTACATTAACATTAGAACTGCCAAATTAAACAAGGTGACGGTTAGTAATTCCTTTAAAAGGAGCAGCCTGCCTACATCCTTCAGGTGAACTGATGCAACTGGAAGCTCTCCCGAGGGACGAGCCACAGGTGACTCAGCAGGGAGTCACCGGGCGCCGGAGAGGAGGCGCCGGGGAGTGGACGCACCTTCGGGGCCGGAGTGAGTAAGGCACCGGGAAAGTGAGGTCATTCCATACGGCGGGAGGGATTTTTAGTTTTCACAAGTCCTTGGGGGCCAGTGTGAAGGCTCCCTGGTCCGCCCTCGGCTGTGGCGGGTCCTCTCACTAGGATCGGGCCCCCTCACTAGGCTCTGGAGGGCTTTCCACTTCCACCAAAGGCAAGTGTCCTGGCCGCGCTTCCGAGCCTGAAGAGAAGTTTGCCGGTGAACTCGGCCTTCCCAGCCTGGCCATCAGAAGCCAGTCTACTTGGAGGCGTCCGGGACGCGGCCCACGTGCGCCCGGGTTCCACCAGCCCTTTGGGCTCTTCTCACCCCCACGCCACGTCCCGGGGACCCCCACTCACCATGACTGAGACTTATAGGGTTCCTCGGGGCGGCAACAGGCGATGTGACAGCGACAAAGTTCTCCCTCTAACAGACTACCAAGGAGTCCGGGGGAGAAAAGGAAGAACCGCCCCCGAGGGACCCTATATACCCCTTCCCCGGCCACGTGGCCAGGGGGCGGGCCCCTGACCCCGCCCCGGCCGCTGCGGCCCCGCCTCCGAGCCCGCGGCCGCGGGCAGGACGCCGAGTCGCACCCGCCCGCGGAGAGAGGACGGCCGCGCGGCGCTGATTGGTGGGTTCAAAAGTTCAAACCAAACTCTACGGAAGGAGCCCGATCTAGGAAGGGAGGAGACATCCCGGGGCCAGGGAAGGGAGGGTGGGGCGGGGAGAGGACGGAGACGGCGAGTGGAAGGGAGAGGAAGGCGAAGCATCTGCCGGGTTCCCGGTGGGTTCCGGGGGCGGGGGGCGTCAGGTGGACAAAGCCGCAGGAGGAAAGGGGCAGGTGTAGGGAGCGCAGCCCCTCCTGCAGCGCGCCCCGCCCCGGGGTCTCCGGACCCTCGAGCGGCGGCCCGCGATACCGACAGCCAGTCCCCGCCGCACAGCTCCCGGTGGAGCCGGGCCTGCCAGCCGCCCGCCGGTCTGCGAGGCCGCCCCTTCCGCCTTTCAAAGCCCTGGCGGCGGCTCCTCTTGCGGCTGGGGGATTCCGGAGCGAGAAGGCCTTGCTCTGGGTTCCAGCTCTTAATTACCACCAGCTGGCCTGAAGCCCGTATTCTCTTCTTTACTCGTTTTCCTGCCTTTTGAAAAATGAACCTTTTGTCCCTAACAACAGTCTCCTTCCAGTTGGTGCAAAAGCAGTTTTATCGGTTCGTTATTAATAGCTTCCACTTTTGATTGCTTACTATTCCGAGTAGTTGGTTTTTCACACTATATCAATCACATTTCATCCTTAGGACAAACCCTGTGAGTTATCCCCATTTTACAGATGAGGAAACGAGGGCTCAGCGGAATTAAACTAGTTTAAGGTCACACAGCTGGAGTAATGGAGCCGCCCATAAGCCTTCATTATCTTGTACAGCCTCGGGATCAATATACCGCGCTGACCGTCTCTGCAAAGGTTTATTTCTCAGAAACAGCCTTTATTTCAGTTCTTTTTCTTTTTTTGGAACTTCATCGTGTTATCTTAGCTCTTCACCCTCTCTGGGTGCTAGAATTATGGAAATATTCAGAGAACAAGAGTGACTGTTACACAGAATAGCAGTTACGGGCTTTTTCCTGAAGTAGAAAAAGGCAAAATGAAAGGAAAAATGGGTTCTGGGTACAGAATAGGCAGAACTCAAGATACACCCCAACTCATACACACAAAGTGAATGCTGTGGGAATATGCACAGAGACTCCTTTTCAAATGACAGTACCACAGTTCCGTCATCAAATGTTTGTTGATCACCTATTGTGTGGCAAGATATTCTGAAAGTTGGAATAACTAGCATCCTAGTCTGTTCCTAAATATTTTAGTCTTAATTAGTAAAGCATTTCAACTTTTTAATTCATTCCACCAATATATTTAACACAGTTTGATTTCTTGGGAATACGCATGTGAACAAAAATTGACAGATCTCTGCCTCATAGAGCCCATGTTCTAGGAGGGATAAGAAGAAAAAGAAACAATGAATACAGTAAATAAGTAAATCATAAAATTCATTAGAAGGTGATGAGTGCATAGGATGGCTATAGGAAAATACTGAGCAAAGTGGAATGAGAGTGCTGAGAGGGTGGATTGGGGGGAGGGGTTGCAATACAAACAAGATGATGGGGTTAGCCTTAATGATACCTGAGATTTGAACAGACACTTGAAGGTCATGAGAGGTTAGCCGAGTGGCTAAAAGTGAGCAGCTGGAACACAGGACCCCTCTACCCACCCACCCACCCACCCCCAAGCAAGAGTGAGCCCTTAGTGTTCCTGGAAGGAAGAGCAGGGAGGCCAGCTTGGCTGGAAAAGATGAATAGTAGAGGAGGAGGCTAAAGAATAAACAGGAGCCATATCTTATGGCTTCTCGTAAGCCACTGCAAGTCCTGTGACTTCTACTCTGACATGGGGAGCTAATGTAGGGTTGAAAACATAGAAGCAACATGACCTAATTGCCTTTTCTTAAAAGATCACTTTGGTTCTTTGGTTGTTGTGTTGAGAATAGATTATAGTAAGGCACAGGTAGAAGCAGGAAGACATCTTAAGATAACTCATTGCCATAACCTTTTTGAGAGACGATGAAAACTCTGACCAGAGTGGTAGCAGAGGAATTAGTGAAAAGTGGTTAGAGTTGACTACCTTCTATCGATAGGGCCAAACGCTCACATGTGAGGGAAAGAGAAGCCAAGGATTACTCTAGTTTTTAGCCTGAATTAGTGAGAGATGGATTTGCCATCAACAGAGGCAAAAGGCTGAGAATGGGGCACGCCTGGAGGGTGTTGATATCAAGGGTTGTTTTTGGTGATGTTAAGTCGAGATGTTGATGTCCATGTGGAGGTAGAGATGCCCAAGACACAGCTGGGTATGAGAGTCTGGATCTCCAAGAAAAGAGATCTGGGTAGAGCTAGACATCGAAATGCCATCCTTAAGTCATGACATTGGGTGAGATGTGACTGGAGTAAGTGTAGAAACACAAGAGACGAGGACCAAATACTAAGCTCTGGGAAAAGAGGAAGAGCCAGTGAAGGACACTGAAAAGGAGCAGCCAGTAAGTTAGGAAACCCAAGAGTGTGAGGTCCTGGAAACAAGGAAAAAGGGATGACTAGCAGGGTCAAATGCCACTGATAGGTCAAGAAAGCAGAGAACTCAAAAATGACCATTAGATTTAGCCACATGGAGGTCATTAGTAACCCTAATGAGAATAGTTCAGTGTGGCAATTTAAAAATAATAGGGATTTGGGGATGCCTGGGTTGCTCAGTTGGTTAAGCGTCTGCCTTTGGCTCAGGTCATAATCCCAGGATCCTAGGATCGAGCCCCGCATCGGGCTCCTTGCTCAGCAGGGAGCCTGCTTCTACCTCTGTCTGCCACTCCCCTGCTTGTGCTCTCTTTCTCTCTCTGTCTCTGACAAATAAATAAATAAAATCTTTAAAAAAAATTAAAAATAATAGGCATTTTATTTTTAGATTATGTTTCTCATATAATTCATTAACAAAATACCTTTATTTTTCTTCTCATTCTCTATCATATTCAAGTAGATAGCCCCTGAGGAACTTCAGTATGTTTAAGGGCTTTGCAGTCCTGATTACCTTGATTTAGATTCTGGTTTTTGTTTTCTAGCTGGGGGTCCTTAAGCAAATTTTGTAATCTCTCTAAATCTCCTCCCTTATAAAATGGGGATAATATATAACTTATAGGTGGGATACACTGTTGTGAGGACTAAATGAGATTTAAAAAATACATAGATATACACACAGCAAAGCACTAAAATCTGTAGCTGTTACTGTTGAAGGTGATGGTGGCAGAGGACAAAATTAGAGATGAAGATGCATCTTCTTGCATTTTAAAATCATTTTAAGGGGCGCCTGAGTGGCTCAGTTAGTTGGGCGCCTGCCTTCAGCTTGGGTCATGATCCCAGGGTCCTGGGATCATGCCCCACACTGGGCTCCTTGCTCAGCAGGGAGTCTGCTTCTCTCTTTCCCTCTGTCCCTGCTCATGCTCTCGCTCTCTCAAATAAATAAAACCTAAAAAAATAAACTTCTGTTTAAAAAAATAAATAAAATCATTTTAAGCATTGGGAGCTGTATTTAAGTTTGTTGCCCCCTTCTGGATTGTTTTGGAGGGGAAAAAAAATCTCTTTCCTGAGTGGACAGTTAAAAATGTAACCTTTATGGAAACAGGTCTTTATGGGTCTAAAAAATTACTGAGTGAGATGAGGCAGAAGACAGTTTTACTTTCTAGTTGAAATTTTCTAGGATTCACCACAAACATGTTGAGTTTTTTTTTTTTTTTAAAGATTTTATTTATTTATTTGAGACAGAGAGAATGAGAGAGAGAGAGCACATGAGAGGGCAGAGGGTCAGAGGCAGAAGCAGGCTCCCTGCTGAGCAGGGAGCCCGATGTGGGACTCGATCCCGGGACTCCAGGATCATGACCTGAGCCGAAGGCAGTCGCTTAACCAACTGAGCCACCCAGGCGCCCAACATGTTGAGTTATTAACAGAGAGCTGCTGCTCAGCCATTTTGGCGACAGAACTTTGGAGGGGCATTTCTCCTTTTTGGGTCCCAGATTCGCATGTGCATTTGAGGGGATTGGACAGTTTCATCTCTAAGGCCTTTTTCAGCCCTGACATTCCGTGATACTGTGACTTGAGCCCTCTGCTGTACATATGAGCTGTTCCAAAACGGGCAAAGTTGAAAAATATGTTTCATTCAGTCAGGTTCTTCTAAGAATCACCAGTACATTAGATAAATACAGATGGGGCTTTTGCTGGAGCCTTACAATGTATTAGAGAAAGAAGTGGCATGCCTTCTCTGGCTCACTGTCATAGAATATGTCCACAGAACATTAGTAAAGCAGAAAGAATTCAGAGGAAACTGAACCTTATCTTTTTTCAGTCTGACTCCCGTTTTCTACGCTAGGATACCAGTAATGCTAAATAATTTATTTGTGTTCAGTTACAAATTACATGTTACAATAATAATGGTATGGATATACTGTGCTTTATAGCAATTTACAATAAGATATTTTGTACTGCAATAGTGCCTTGAAGTTTTCAAAGGTAAGTTGTTAACAAAGGTATTTATTATAGAACCGTGAGAAATAAGGTCCTGAGATTGAAATAACTTACCCTAAACCATAAGAGGTGGAACTCAGAATAAATGCCTAACATGCTTTCTAGGCCCTCCATTAGCCTGTTACTGGCACTAGTTCACAAGGAAAGGAAGCCCTAGAAAAGTCACATATTGAATTTATTGTTTTAAGACAAGGTTACTACTACTAATATAGCAAGAAAAAGGAGAATTTGTCCTACTTTTAAGACCTCCAAAGGACAGCTGGGACTCCTTGCAGTTAAGTTCAATCACCTTCTTTACAAGCATGTTTGATTTTTTAAGATTTTATTTATTTATTTGAGAGAGAGAGAGCACGCAGGAGCAGGG